GGGCTTCAGAGTTTTAGGGTTTAGAGTTTAGGGTTTAAAGTTTAGGGTTTTGGGTTTGGGGTTTAGGGTTTTAGGATCTAGGCTTTGGAGGTTTTAAGGTTACAGGGCCTTAGGCGGCTTAAGTTTGAAGGTATTTAGTGCCCCAGACCCTAAGCAGGGTTTAGGGTTTAGGGAAGCATACCGAGAAGTACAAAAGCTGCTTCTGTTCAGTACTATGGGAGGTTACCCGAGCAAGCACAAGCCCGAGAAGGCAACACATCGTCAGACAGGTCGCCAGCAGGAGTTTCTCGCGATAGTGCCGGCACATAGTGAGGACCTGCCAGCGATCGAGACCTTCTACAGAAAATCAGGTCAACGCTACGGCTGGCATGCTTTTTCAAGAGCACCGCTTTAGAACCCTGATCCTAAACCCCTGAACCCTAAACCCTAAACCCTGAACCCCTGAACCCTAAACCGTAAGCCCTAAACCCTACATCCTAAACCCCTGAGCCATAAACCCTAAACCCTAAACCCTAAAACCCCAAACCCTAGCCCTAAACCCTAAACCCTATATGGGGATGTCACAGAAAGGCCCGGGGCGGAAAAGCCTGCATCTCCTCCTCGAAGCTCAAGCGGCACTCCCCAGTGACGTGGATGACCTGAGATGAAAACTTGCCTACCCTCAATTTAGGGTTCAGGGTTTAGGGTTTAGGGTTTAGGGTTTAGGGTTGGGGGTTTCATATTCCCAAACCCTCAACCCTAAACCCTACTACCGCAAAACCCTAGGCGCTGAACCCCTAAAGATCTTGCCCGTCCTCCCAGCAAAGACACCTCTGTAGAGCTTGAGGGTTCCGATTCGAGGTCATGTGCCGTGCAGAACCCAAAGAAAACTGGAAGCTCCCAGAAATCCTGCACCCAAAAGCCCCCGAGCCCCAGGCCAAAATTGGGATTCAGGGGGGCTAGGGGCTGGGATTGGGGTTTAAGGTTTTAGGGTTTGGGGGTTGAGGCTTCAGGGTTCAGACTTGTGCGGCCAGAGGAGCTCTCCTCACATGCTCCGCACCTGGCAGGGGTTTGTATGTCATCAGGCTTCACGCACGCGTTTTGGGGCCACGCTTTTTCTGTTTTGCATGGGAAAGGTAGGACCCTCTCAGGCCAGCATCGCTCAAGCCTCGAGGAAGCCAGGAGGATGACAAGAACAGTCATGTATCGTACGGGTAGTTTTTCAAAATAAGGGTCCCTTTTAGGGCCCTTTTTCTAAGGGTGCCGTACTTTCTTGGGGACCCATAAAAAGGGACCCTAACTTAGAGAACTACCCACCCTTATAGTACCCTTAAATTTAGAAACCCTTATAGACCCCTCTAAGGAATCCTAAACCCTTATAGTACCCTTTTAGAAAGCCGCCTTCTTCGTAGAGGGCCCAGGGCAGCGGCATCCGCGAGTGCTGGACCTGAGAGGTGCTGCGCTCATTGGGAGAGAGAGAGAGAGGGAGACAGGAGGCGAGTCAGACTTTGGCTTTTGAAATGAAAAACTACTATAGAATATGTATATCTGATTATATATTATAGTATGTTATATATCATAGACTATATCATAGAATATAATATAGAATATATCATAAACCCTAAACCCTAAACCCTAAACCCTAAACCCCCAAAACTCCCTAAACAAAAACTTAGGGCCCGTTGAGGGTCCCGACTTTGGCCTTCCAGACTTGGTGCTAGGGACGGACCCGGTTTAGGGTTTAGGGTTTAGGGTTTAGGGTTTAGGGTTTAGGGCCCAAACCCTAAACCCTGAACTCTGGATTTCTGAGCCCCTGGCCCCATTTAGGGTTTAGGGTTTAGGGGGTTGGGGGGTTTAGGGGTTTAGGGGTTTAGGGTTTAGGGGCTTTAGGGTTTAGGGGCTTTAGGGTTTAGGGGTTGAGGGTTTTGGGCTCAAAGCCCAAAACCCATACCCGACACCCGAGTATCCTAAGCCAACCTGCTAGAGTTTGCACCATGGCCAAGGCACGGCGAGTGCCAGCTTGCAGCGCAGAGCCGTGGCGTTGGGATGCCTAGCTTTTGCATAACATCAATGGAGCTTGAACTTAGGGTTTAGGGTTTAGGGTTTAGGTCTTGCAGAGTGGATCCGGGAGTCAGTAGTTGCTTGTAAAGCCCTGTGAAGGTGTTGCCTGTCGTCGATGCTCTCGAAGTGCTCGAAGCAGACAGCATCTTCGCCTGAGAGCACAGATCGTACTGGTAGAGAGCCTGACCCAACATCGTTATCAATAGTATCACCATCATCCTCACGCTGGTGATTACTCTGCTTGAGCTGATAGTGTTTGATCTCGAGGATCACTCCGCAATAGGCCCGAGGGTCAACTTCAAGGATATGCCGTGCAAGTGCCATGCCGTACCATGCCATGCCATGCCACCCATGCCATGCCAAGCCCGGCGCTGGTGTACGGAGAGTCCGTGGCCACGGAGTTTACCAACTGAGAAACCAGATTGTAATCCTCGGTCAAAGTCATTCTTGCAACACGGTTTTGCTTCTTGGCAGCACTCACTACTGTTAAAGTACTACTACGTGCTGTTTCTGGTAGCGCTTAGCACTGTAGTTACTCTATTATACGACTACCATCACCACCACCACCACCAAAACGACGACGACTACTCCTAATCCTGCGCCTACTGCTATGCTACTGCTACCATGACTATTCCTCCCACAAGTATTTTTTAATGTTTGTTCTTCCTGGATTTTTTGGGACGGCTGTTGTGACCATCGTCGTCGTTGAATGCTCGGACGGTGTGAGAGAGAGAGAGAGAGACAAAAAGTTATTAAAACAAAACAAAAAAAGGCACGCGAGAGACAGAGAGAGAGAGAGAGAGAGGCTGAGAGAGAGAGAGAGAGGGAGGCTGAGAGAGAGAGAGAGAGATGCACCGCTTGAACTCCAGGGGCCCGGTGCAAGAAGAAGAGGAGCATCAAGTAGAGGGCCGAGCCTGGCAGCGCAGGAGCGAGGGTGTCTGGGTCGGAGCTCGGACTTTTTGTTGTTCACCTCTGGTTTAAATCTTTGGGATTTAGGGCTCAGAGGTTTTCTGGGGCTTGGGTTGCATGGTGGGAGCTGCACCCTAAACCCTAAACTTACACCCCAAACCCTAAACCCTAAAAGATTTAAATGCAGGGTCTCTAAACCCTAAACCCCAAACCCTAAACCCTAAAACCCTAAACCCTAAAACCCCAAACCCTAATGTTTTCCACGGTGCCACAACTCTGCCTGGAGCCTCTGTATCTCTAGGGGCCTTAGTAATTAGAGTTTAGGGTTTAGGGTTTAGGGGGTTCCTTATTATAAATATAGTAGAATAGCCCGCAAACCCTATTCTAATGATTAAGGCCTCTATATATTCGGTAAGCTTTAGCCCTTTGGGGGGTTTCGGGCTTAGGGTCTGGAGTTTTGGGGCTTATCTAATACTTCTATAATTTAAAAGGTTAACCGTTTTTGGGCTGGGGTGCTCAGACCTTAGGCCAAAGCCCGGTAGGTTTAGGTTCGTGGGTTTCTGCGGCTGGACGTTTGAGGGTTTCGAGTTTGGGGTTTAGGGTTTAGGGTTTCGGGTTTGGGGTTTGGGGTTTGGGGTTGAGGATTTCCACGTTACGCTCCCTGGGCAGGTTACTTGGAAAAGCCTCTGCAGGCTGCTGGATATAAAACTTCCTAGACCAAAACAGCCCTAACCCCTAAACCCCGCTATACCCTAGACCCCTGGATCCTTTGGTATTGGGTCTCCCTAGTTAGCCTCATGAATACCAGGGCAAAAAGGAGTAGCCTTACTCTGACGTGGTTGCTGGACAACCCCAACCTGGTACACGTTTTCTAAGGAAGGGTTTAGGGTTCACCCAGAGGGTCCGAGTACCCAAATAGTAAGGTTTTAGGCCCCCAAATCCATACTCTGAATGGTTTTTGGACCTTTAAACCCTACTATTTGGATACCTGGACCCTTATAGGGTTTAGGGTTTAGGGTTTAGGGGGCTCTTGGGCTCAGGATTTCGGTTGCCTGCGGAAGCAAGAGCTGCTCGCATGGCGTGTGTTCTGGCTCCGAGAAGGGCAGGGCAGAGCGATGGATTAGACCAGCGCACGGACAAGGCTCATGGTTGCAGCACAAAGGCATAGAAAGTCCAATAATTTGAAGCGTCAGATTCCCGTCGGCAACAACGACGCAAGCATTACGAGAAGACTGTTGAGCAGACATTTAGGAGGCAGCAACTGCATAAGAGGCCGACGTCCAAAAAACATTTGCAACTGGTAGGATTGGCCAGCTGCAGACCACTTGACATAGGACTTGAATTAAGTGCAGCCCGAACCGTAAACCCAAACCTAGTTAGACCCAAAACCTCAAAGTTCCTTTTCAGAGGGCTGTTTTGAATAAGATGGAGCCAAATAGATACCATCTTTTAATGGTGCCTAACTCCACTTCTATTCGAGGGCTGTCTCAGGCAGCTCATTAAGCACAGCCGTTGCTTTGCATCCGTCCTGGCCAGCCGAAGCGTGTCGGTCCGGGGCCCAGCACGCGACACGGTTCACGGGGCTGGTCCCAGCTTCAGGGCTTGAAGGACTCCTTCGCTACAGGCTTTCTTAGAAGCAGAGTAGTTAACCCTTAATTTAGGTTTTTCCGGGCTACTTTCAGTCTGTGGTGATATGGTGCCTTCTTTAGGGGTCCTGAAACTCCGGCTGGGGATCTGGTTTGCAAGTCTTTGCCGGATGTCGAATTGGTAATCCGTTAAACCCCGAAGGTGAGCCAGTCAGTTCAAGACTTGATGCTGGGTCTTTTCATCTACAGACTTGGAATAGGGTTTGGGGGCGAGTCATT